CCACTTTTCGTTGAATATCGGATACCGAACTGATGGCGAGGATTTGACTATATTGCGAATCAATGATGCTGGGCTTCCAAATGCCACCACCCGTTTTCTTTATTCGACAATTGGGCTTTACCATACAGTGCAGCAGTTTCACCAGTATGTAATCTCGCTTATCTAAAGAATTGGATTTTTATTTTTAGTTAACTTGTACTCGCAGTTCATACCTTCACTAATCGAACCATTTTTTTAATGTATTAAATTCTTCTAACCCTTTCTTGTCTTTAATATTTCTCCCATAAATTTCAAAAGCTGCTTCTACAAATGCTGCCCATTTAGAGATCTTGTTTCCTTTGCCAGAAAACATGGCACAAAAGTCATGTTCCACCTACAGTTTACAAGATTTAATATTTTAATATTAACGTGACTATAATAAATTATACCAGCAGGTGCTCTTTGGTTCCATGTTTGTACAAAGGCCAGTCTTCTATAGTTTTTGAAAATGCAGTTGTTTGGCACTCTTTTGTTCTAAAATACGTAGTGATCTGCCATTTTTCAAAGATTGTGTCCCAGTCACTTTCTTTATTGTACTTTAGCCACGATTTTATATTCTCGTGCTCATCTGAAGGCTTCTGAGTAATGGGCGTTGATGCTGGCAAGCAATCTAAATCAGTATAAACAGAAAATAAGCATTTATCTTATAAGTTAAAATACATACCCGATCATAATTTGTGGATTTTTTGACAAAATATTATTTAATGATTTTAATATACCAAAGTTGCACATTTCTCCATTTTCTAATTGCTTTAAATTTGTAGAACGAGGAGTCTTTAATAGTGATCTACTGTTTAGTGGAAGGTTTTTATGGTAATGGCTAAGAATTTGAAGCAGATCATCAACAGAATTATGGCGTATTTGATTTTTTATGGCCCAAATCCTCAATTATGCTTGCAAGGAAGGAAGAATATTAGAACAGATATCTGTGGTATTTGGAATATTCTGACAGTTTATATTGTCATCTATACTTGTGCACGTATCAATAGGACATATTTGAGATATACCTTGATCTACATTAATATTAAATTTATTCCCACATGAAATACTTCTTAAACTACTAGTCGGTTCGCTAGCTTGAGGTTTTTCAAACTGATGAACTTTCTGAAGAGTCTTATTTACAGATTCTCTAACTCTGCGATATATTTGTGGTTTACTTGTAATTTGCATTTTTTTATAAATAAGTTTATGGGACATGATGAATGATATTGTCTAATTTGTTACAAAATTACCATGAATAAGAACCAGATATACAGAGTGGCCCAACGAGAAGTATACAAAGGGCTTTTAGGGTGTTAAATTTAGAAATTTCGAAAAATCCTCGAACACGTCAATTTTGTATTCGAGGGGAACAACTTTAGGAATACAAATATACACTACAAGAAGAATGAAATAAGTATAATCATCTTACAAAAGTATTCAAATTTTGAGGTAATTTAAGATAAGTTTCCACCTGGGATAAAGATTCCTCAGTGTTCATGAAATCCTAAAACTGGAAGTGTAAACAAATGGACTAGGTACTACATTGAGTTATATGTACAGGGTGGCCAAATAAGAATGCGAGGTACTGTATCTGGGAACGTGTCCATCGTAGAGGCTTGCGGTAAAAAAGTTATTACTAAAACGGCCACGAGAAAAACCTGGAAAATATGTTTAAGTTTCTGAAATGGCCGCTAGGGGGCGTAACTGCAATCTGGAATCTAAAAAAGTGATGTTTCTGAGAATTCCACTATATTAACCTAAGAAAAAAATGTCAGGTCTTTGAAGACGACGATAATCTGAACCTTTTTTGTTTGACAATTTTTCCTGTATGTCTAAAAATGAAGTGATGGGGGTATTCAAAGATTTCCGTAAAGAACACCCTGTAACTTCGAAACGGTAAGCTTGGGTTAATTGAAGAGTTATTCTTCGGCTATAAATATTATAATATTTGAAGTTTTGTTAGTTTCACATATCGCCGCTTGAGGGCTTTTTTCGACGTTCCTACAGAAATGGTTAATTTTCTCCAAAAAAATTAAATGCGTTGGTTTGATTTTTTTAAATGAAAAAGTAGCTAAATGATGCCTAAACAAGCTCGCGAAAACCGCATCTCGATATCTTGTTCCTAACCTAAAATTTAGGCCAAAGAAAATTTTATACCCTCAAAATTTGATTTTTTTAAGCTAACTTTTCCGGAATTATTTTTATTATATAATTTGTGGCCCTCAGGTGGATCGATTTAAAAAAGGAAGCTTTTAATGCCGCCGTAAATTCTCGAAATGCTGACCATCACGATATATATCTATCTATCTATGTCATGCGGCAATATTATAATATTTGTAGCTGAAGAATAGCTCTTTTGAACTAACCCGAGTTTGTTTAAATCGGCTCAGCCGTTTCGAAGATACAGGATGTTCTTCACGGAAACCTTTGAATACCCACCACCACTTCATTTTTAGAGATACAGGAAAAATTGTCAAACAAAAAAGGTTCAGATTATCGTCGTCTTCAAAGACCTGACATTTTTTCTTAGGTTAATATAGTGGAATTCTCAGAAACATCACTTTTTTAGATTCCAGATTGCAGTTACGCCCCCTAGCGGCCATTTCAGAAACTTAATACAGAAACTTGATACGCAAGAACAAATTGTGCAACTTCTATTCAATGCAACTAGAGACTAGGACTTAATTAAGAAATATCTCATTATTATAATGACTAATAAAAATAAATTCCACAACAATGTTTATTAACAACCTCCATTTGAAATCAAGATCAGTTACATGTTATAGTTATTCACTATTCACAGCTCTTTCTTGCTACTCAACGCTTCCAATATTTGAACAAAAATACTGTTTAAATTCTTCCCGAATGTCCCTTGCATTCTGAGTCGATTTATTACCACCTTGTCTACTGATTTTATTTATGTCTTCTTTAGTACAATCATTTGCATTCAAGTCAGTGTATAAATTTCCATTTTCTGTAGCCAGATAATTATGTAGGGCCACACATGCAAGAGTAAATGTTTCAACTTTGGTGACTCGAAGATGTATAGGATTAAGCAAAACTCTAAATCTATTAGCTAAGATGCCAAAGGCATTTTCAATAATCCTCCGAGCTCTAGACAACCGGTAATTGAATATTCGTTCGTCATGAGATAAACCCCTAAATGGATATGGTTTCATAATTGCATCTTTGAGTGGGAACGCATCGTCTGCAACAATTACATACGGTACTGGTCGTATTCTTCCTGGTAATGCTGTTGCAGGTGGAAAATTGAGACGGATCACTTTCCAGAAAACTCACATTTATTAGGAGATTCTGCGTATCCCTTATGCAACCGCTTACTAACACCATTTAGAGATAATGGCCATTTGACTCGGAAACAAGTGTTTTATAACATTTGCCATGCAAGTACCAGATCTGCTATCGAAAGAGCATTCGGTATATTAAAGGCAAGATGGAGGCGCTTAAATTATTTAGAGCTGCATAATGTCAGTAATTACCCCATCATTATTTCAGCTTCTTGCATGTTGCATAATTTTTGTCAAAGACAAGGTGAGGAAATGGCATTCTCTGAAGGAAAAGATTTGTCAATAGAGGAGGTAAATGTGTTTAATGGAATGGATAACAAAGAAGCAGTAAACAAGCGAAATAATACAGCGTGTTTCAAAATGAATAGAGGGGTTTCAACATGTTATAATATTTGATAGATGAAACTTACAGCCACAAGTGATATATCAAATGAAAGAGAAACTCAAACAGTTTTTGTTTGTTGGCATCAGTGCGTATGTTTCCGCCGCAATCCGCTAGAAAGCGCTAATGACAGGGCTTGTTTCGCATGGCCTCCACGGTCACCCGACCTAACCCCGTGTGATTTTTATCTTTGGGGGTTTATTAAAGACCGTGTGTATGTGCCTCCACTGCCAGCCGACCTTCCCGATTTAAGAAACAGGATTGAAACAGCTGTTGCAGCAATTACTAATGAGACACTCATCAAAGTTTGGGAAGAACTAGCATACCGTCTTGACGTATGCCAAGTGACGAATGGTGCTCACATTGAACACTTGTAGGCTATAATGTAAAACTGTTTGAGTTTCTCTTTCATTTGATATAACAATTGTGGCTGTAAGTTTGATGTATTAAATATTATAACATGTTAAAACCCCTCTATTCATTTTGAAACACGCTGTATAATGAATGCTGTTGAAAAATGACATTTTTCTTTTGTTTTTAAAATAACGAATTTACCTACAGTATTTTTTTTACTTTCTGTATTTGATAACCTAAGAGCCAGTTTGTTATCATATTCGTTCACGTTCAAGTTGTACAGAGAATGAGAATTGGTATTACCCCAGTTATTGACGTAAAGTTGTGCCTTCAGCCTTCAATTTAATTTCGTTTTGTTTTGTGTTTTCGTTAATAAATTTCGCCTAATTCATATTCGTTTTTTTGTCACCTATTTATAATTACAGTCCATTAAGCTTCCCTGACAAATGCTTTGCAGCAAAGATAATTTTACTTATGTATTTTAGATTTATTCCTAGAGGAATTTAACATAATGTAACATTGAACATAAATGAAATAGAACATTTTAAGGCACAAAGGGTTAGTCCTTTTTAGTGATATGATTAACTAATGTTTCCAAGAGATTCTTAAATCTTTTTTTTTTCCAGCAACTCTTCCTCATGTTGTTGCTGCGATTTTAAACACTCTTCAGCAAGTCGACTACTGATTCAGTATTTTTACGTTTTGGGGTACTTCTTCCAGACCCTTCGCCTTCCGATTCTGGTGTGTTTGGTTCCCGTAATTGTATAACTTCTTCAGTGTGGTCTGCTACACCATTATTTATTAATAAAGGGGGAACAATGGCAGGATTGTCATTTAATAACTCATCCATCAAGTCATAGTAAGGCCAATTTTTCCTGTTAGTCCCTGTTTCCTTATGATGGTCTTTGATATACTTGTAAGTTTGCAGCTATAACGCTCCCAATTTTCCACGGCTACTGGAATCGGGGTGGAAAATTGAGAGTTCACAAGTGCTGGTTCGGGTAGCTCAATTCGCAGCAGGGTTCGGTAGTAAAACCAGTTGAAAGCGGAGATCGCTTAATACATATATTGTTTCCAATAATAAAACAAAATAAAATTAAAATAATGTACACAAAAGCACGCCTCTGTGGACTGCCTCCGCACGTCACTGGCTCGGACTGAAGTGGAACGGTCAGTGCGACACTTCCAGTGGATGCTGGACACGGTGTGTTTCCTCTTAGGTTTGTTATATTCCTTTAACAATCGGAAGTATAATTAACACAAATAAATTCAGAGTAATTAAGTGATTGTTTAAACAATAGGTGAGTGACCTTATTGATTATTATTTAATGTAATACTATGGGGGAATTCTACCTAGACAGAATTCCAAAAAAAAATGAAACGGGTTCTAAACAAAATTGACTGGACGTAATAAAATGAAAAGGGGTTCTTTAATTAACTCAACAAAAGTATCTGGATGTGGATTATTATTAAACAGGATGGTTTTCAGGACTTAGGTACAAAGTACCGCCCTAAGTTACCAAGAGTTCGGGGAAGGTTTAGAATAACAGGTGTGAAAGTTGACCAGGTACACAGTACCAGCCGTGAGCTTCGGGAAGTAGTTATCGGGAGTTAGACCGTAGGTGCAAAGCACCGGCCTAAGCTTCTGGATCAGGTAAGAGATAACAGGGTTCGAAATTTAGGCCTTTGGTACAAAGCACCGGCCTAAGCTTCAGGGAGAGCAGGAGATCTGGAGGGTGGTTCTGGTAGAAGGTTTTGAGCTATAGGAAGGTGATCTCAATTAGTTCTCTCACAGACGGGACACTCGCTTTTATATTCAACGGCCGGTTACGTTTGGGGAATATTTGGAAATGGTAATCGGGAAGGGATTAACGGGAAGTGGTATTTGATACGATCGGAAAGGTAGGTGGCGACATCTCACGGAACTTCAGGAAAATAGTTTTCATCATTGCTTCCTAAAATGATTATAAAAAGTATCATAGTTGGATTCCTTACATATCACCCCTCCTTCGGAATCCGGTACCTTGGTGTCCTCTATTACCTTGGTTGGAAGCGGAGTTTTCGGTGGCTGGGTACCTCTGGATATGTAGATCTTAGGTATATTGTGGTCCTGGTTAAACCTCCTGGGCGCCCACGGATAAATTTTCCTTTTGGCTTGTCG